GGGCTCCTCAGGGCAGGACACACCTGGCCCCGCCCCGGACGTGGTTCCTGGCAGGCCCCGCCCCTCGCCCCGCCCCCAAGGCTAATTCCCTGGAACCCAGGACCCCCGGGACCCCCAGGGGAGGCTGGGAGGGGCTCCTTGGGGGACAGGATGGGGACCAGGCCGGTGGCACCGCCTGAGGGAGGGGAGGAGGCCGAACACGGGGGCCGGAGCCCCTCGCATGCTGCCCGCGGGTGCCCGAGTCCCACCCTGGCCACCCCCGCCCGTCACAGCAGCCCGTGTCCACCAGGAAGGCCCCCAGGGGCTCCAGCCACCCACACCGCCTGTCTGGCTGGGCCCTGGCCTGCTGTGTCCGGCGGGGGCTGCCCTCACTCCCGCCCTGCGGGAGTAGCGGCCTCGCAGTCTGGGTGGGGGGCTGGCGCCCTGGTGCCCGGAGCTGGGGTCCGGCAGAGACGCTCGGCCATGTGCGCCCCTCGCACCGCTCCGGGGATCTGCCTGCAGGGCACCGGCCCTGCCTCAGGCGGCTCGGGTTCCGAGGCACCGGACGCAAGCCAGTGGGCACCGACCTCGGCGGGAGGCTGGGCTTCGCCGGAAGGGCGGGGAAGAGAAACCCCGCTGTCCCCTTGTCTCTCTGCCAAGTCTGCAGGAAGCTTGGGGCCCTTTGGGCACGAGGGTCACGGGGACTCGAGCGTCACTGGACACGAGGCTGACGGTGGACCCGAGCGTCACGGCGGACTCGAGCGTCACTGGACACGGGCGAGGCTGGCGGTGTGAGTGCGGCAGACGGCGACGCACATGGTCCAGGTCCCCACTTCAGGGCAGGACGCAGGAGGTGGGCGCGGTCAGCACGCCAAGCAGGGCTGCGGGAGGCGAGGGGAGCTGGCCTGCACCCCCAGAGGCCTGGGGCAGACCCGTCTCCGTCAAAGGGGGAGGCCCCCACTTACTTGTCGCCTCCTTGGGCCAGTCCTGGAGCGGCCAGGTGGAGCCCTGCAGCGGGCAGGTGGCTCGGGAGCTGCAGGGAGGGGTCCGCGGGGAGGGGCGCGGGCGTCCCGCCTTGGCCTCGCCCCCGGACTTGGGGCCGCAGAGGGGACCCGCGGGAGATGGGCAGACGCCGCGGGCAGCTGCGGGTGGCGTCTCTGTTCCTTGACTTCGCTCCTCCGGCCCCAGGCCTGCCGGCCCCTCCCCCCCCGTGTCCCCCGGCAGTCTGGGCCCGGCCGCCTGGGCGGCCACTCGTCTGGCTGGACATTTGCCCTCTGGGGGAGGCGAGTGGGCGGCTCCCCGGAAACTTCCTTCTGCACGAGCCTATTGCAGTTCCCTCGCACTGTGCTGTTTTTGTGCACAGAGAGCTGGACCCCAGTAAGGCACGCACGTTGGGGGGTCCCAGGGTACCCCTCCGTCTGCACGCTAGCTGTTTCGAAGCAGTTCTGACATGCGCTGTCGGGTTCGGGGGGACGCGCCCTTGTGAGCTGAGCAGGAGCTTCCCGGGGGGCTCGTTTCTGGGTCAGGCTTGTCCCCGAACGTGGCGAACACTTCGGGGTGTCCCTCCCCAACGTCGACACTGGTGGAGCCCGGCCGGGGCTCCAAGGGGAGCAGCCCCGCCGGCCCACGGGATTAGCGGGTGCCAGGGGAGCGCCCCCTCCTGGCGTTCGTGTGTCACGCAGATCTCAGCTGCGGCCACGGCCCTTGGGGGGGGCCCAGCAGGCCGCGGGGTGCCCCTCCCCCTGGCCCCCGCTGTTCCCCCCGTTGTCGCCTGCCAGTGACCCGTGCCTTCCACACGCCCTGCACGAGCCCAGTGCAGGTGCAGACCGGAGCGGTCAGGTCTGCGGGGTCTTACCTGGGCTTTATTAAATTGCTCTCAGGGGTGTTCATGGCCGGAGGGGGCCCCCGGGGGGCACACTTCCCTTGAACAAGGCGGGGGAGGGAGGAAATCTGGCCCCCGGGGAGCCTGGGCTTCCTCTCCCCCAGTCCTCCCGCCCACTGCCGGCCCAGGTCTGCTCTGGGCCTCACTAAACCCGGAACCCAGCTCCCC